AAGCCGGGCTGATACCTGTGCACCATGTGCACCCCTCTGGGTTTGATACACCAGTGGCACAGCCTCAAGATTCACAGCAACAGGTCACCACAGTAGGACAAACTGACAGACAAGTTTCTCTCCCTTAGCTGTTTGAAACCTCTCCAACCACCCCCTCACCTGGATCCCTGTGGCTGACTCCTCGCTCTTTCCCGGTCCCCGTGGCCTTTTACTCTCCTTTCTCCCACTTTCCCACCTTGCCACTTTGGGACATGGCCTGGGTTCCCTCCCCTCACCTGGATACCTGCGGCGGATACCTGCGGCTGACTCCTCGCTCTATCCCAGTTCCCCTGACCTTTTTTCTCTCCTTTCTCCCGCTTTCCCACTTTGCCACTTGTGGGGAGTGGCCTAGGTTCCCTCTCCTCACCTGGATCCCTGTGGGTGACTCCTTGCTCTGTCCCTGTCTGGCCTTTTCCTCTCCTTTCCCCTGCTTTCATGCCTTGCCGCTTGTGGGGTGTGGCCTGGGTACCCTCTCCTCACCTGGATCCCTGGGGCTGACTCCTTGCTCTGTCCCAGTCCCTCTGGCCTTCTATTCTTTTTTCATGAGAGAATTAGTAGGAGAAATTTATTTTCAATCCAAAGAGCTATTTCCACACCAAGGAAAAAAATGAGATTCATCTCCATCAGCAATTTTAAAAATCAAAAAGTTGAGAAATAAAATCTCTATTTGGCGAAAATCAACACTGAAGAAATAATTCAGCAGTTCCACATGCAAGGCATGATGACTAGGCAGATGCTAGGCCATGAAATGTTAAGGGCAGAACTGAGATTTGAAATCTGGCATAAGGGTGGCAGAGCAAGCAGGTATATTCTCACCACATTTCAAAGACTATGAGCTTGGCAAACTTAATCTGCAAAGAGAGACTAAAAAGATATGGGAAGAGAAGAGTGGTAACAACAGCAACAAAGACAGGGCAGGCCTGAGACAAGTATCCTGGATCCATCTCCCAGGCCTGTTCCTACACCGGCTGTTGCTTCCCAATGAAAGCACTCGTGTCCCTAATGCTCATGGTATTTCAAGAATGGGAAAGAAACAGGAGGCTGTACAGTATAAGGATTCTGCAGCAACTCCTAAACTCTAGAAAAGCAGTGGCCCTAAAGGAACATGTCCAACTTAAGGATCTTGACCAAATTATTCCCCAAAAACCAGTGGGATCCCCGGAGCCCGAGAAGGATCGCTCCTGAAGGATCACCACAGCCTTCACTGGAGACATTGACTGCAGCCATGAGCTGGAAATCCAGCCCTGGTAGGAATGAAAACCACTTGCTCCTTCCTTTTTCTAGCCAACTTGCTGGGAACTCTGACAAACGACTTCAGATGAAGCATATCAGTAAGAAGGAAAATACAGAATTCATTAAGGGACCACTGCACCAGAGCTTTGAGAAAAAGAGCTTGTGGCCAGGATTAAAGGAGTGAAGTTAAGTCAAAAGGAATTCAGCCTGGTCTCTCCCATCACAGGTGGGACTCAATAAAAATGAACACTGATAAAGAACATCTCTTGCACCCCAACTTTGGAGACTTTCTTAACATATTTGGTTTCAACTAAAGAACCTGGTAAAGAACATAACCCAAACACAGCAGATTAGCGTTGTCCAATTTGTAGTTTCATTGCTACACACTCCTCACGAAGCCCTTTCTAAGCTAGGCTCTGGCTCAGTGCAAAACTTGTCTGTAGCTTGGGAAAAAGCTGATGTGCTCCTCAAGACCCATTAATTTACTAGTGAAAATGGAAGGCTTAGATTCCAACAGAAGCCAGGCTGATAAAACCAAGGCAAGGATTCTAGGCTCTATGAGTCTCAGCTGGGACTGCCATTTTGGTTGCATTCTTCATTGAAATTCCAGATTCTGCCCAGAAGTAGAGGGGGCTGGGACCAGAGAGAGAGTTGTAACAATAATCTGGTCTTCCGTGTCAATGGGAGCCTCCAAGAACAGCAGTCTCCAAAGTGAGGCATATGAGATAATTTATTGGGGTACAGAAGGAAAACAGAAGGCATTTCTAAGGATTTTTACTCATCCTCTATATCTTAATTATGTTTTAGAATGTACCAACATATTAGTATGGCAATATGAATATAATTTATAAGTGAATATTTTAATACATTTGTTGGAGGCATGATCTATGCTCAAAATACTTTTGCTCATAGAGGGTCAGAAAAGTCAGAAGTCATCGCCCTGTGGTATTACTGATGTCTTAGATCTGGCTCCAAACTGAAAGCTGTGCTCCTCCTCTATATGTCATTGAATTCTGTTGGCCATGCAGAGAGACATGAGGCTCGTATACTCAGCTTAGTGCCATGTCCCCCTATCTATCTGTCTACAACACATATAACACTGAGTCAATGAGCTTCCCAAATAACTCACTCATTCACACAAGGGAAAACTGCACTGCCAGTGGTTCCCTGCAGAGCACAGAATTCTAGCCATCTCCATCATGCTTGGGGGAAATTTAAAAAAATAAAGAAATGACAGAATAACGTCTAAAGGAAAAAAAATCATGTGTATGCTGGTTTAATAAGAAATATGATTTTAAAAAAAGAGAAAGCCCTTTGGCAAAATAAAACTATTATACTAACTAGATAGTAGATATGTAGTAACTTGGGTGAAGGAAAAAGCAACATACAATAATGTGGTCAGCATAACATGACCAAGGGAAGTACATAAGAGTAAAAGATAAAACAATAAATACTGTTACATAAATAATCCTCCAATGTGGTATGGCATATGGGAGTATACTCACGAGCATATATATGTACTTGGCAGAGGATATTTCTATACACACATTTGTATGTGCTACAAATATGTCCATGTATATAACAGAGCATACAAGGGGCAAACTTATGCAAACTTCTTAGCCATAACCAAACACCTTGAGGGACTGAGTTTCTGGGCTTGAGGGTCTAGCATCACAGTCTCAGGGGACATCTAAATCAATTGGCCTAACATAAAAGACAATGTTCTATATCCTAAGATACAACTATTAGTCTCCTCCCATTCAGAGCAAAGAAAAGTAAAGAAATACTTAGGGAAACAATCCAAACGACTAATGGACCACATGAATCACAGACTCCAGAAGCCTGTGACCTGGAGAACTAGAGGGTACATGGCTACCACTACTGACTGCACTGATAGGGATCACAATAGAATCCTACCCTGGACAGAGTAGAAGAAAAATGCTGAACAAAATTCAAAATCATAAAAACAAAACAAAATAAAAAAACAGACTTCCTGGTCCATTAGAGACTAGAGTAACCTCTGACACTGTGGTCCTTATACACCCTCCAAACCTGGAACTGAACCTACTCTCAGGGATCACCTTTCAGCCAAATAACAGACAGACCTACAAAGTGAACAATCATACCTGAAAGAAACCTGCTCCTCACAACAATTAACAATATAAGACCAAAAAGGAAGCATGTTTCCCAAAAATAAAGTTCAGAAGGCAGGAAGGGGAAGGAAAGAAAGGCAAATGGAAATGGGGAACCCAAGGAGGAAGTGAGAAGAGTTATATTCAGAGGATTGCAACTAATGTCAAGAAACAAAATGTGTATAAATTGTTGAATGGGAAACTAATTTGCTTGGTAAACTTTCACCCAAACCACAATAATATGTTAAACAAATAAAATAATAAATGACTATGCATTTATCAAAAGTTATTAGTAATAACTCAAAAAAGAGGGAAATAACTACTATCTTATCTCTTTGGAGATAAGAAAACCAATTGTACAACAGTTAAGTATATCAAAGCCAGGGTCAACAGACATACAGAATTCATTTTAAGTAGAATACAACTCTTAACAATTATTTTCAGTATACTCCCTGAAGCCAGTTTCCTCCTTTTTCCCTCCTCTCTCTCTATATATACATCTTAAAATCCCATTTAAGCACTTGGGTTTTTAATAGAAGACATTCTACAGGAAGTCTCTCAATCCACACCAACTTATATTCTAGTTTACTACTATTATAATAAAGCATTTAATAGCTACCTATTCTATTCTGATATACCACTATATTTGTAATACCTATTTCATATATGTAGAAACTATGGCTCAGGGCTTCATGACTTATCTAGGAGTGAAGCAAAGAGTGAAGGAGGCAGATCTAATACACATACACTCACAAACTGACTCTGAAGCTACAACACAACACTGTTAGGACTGGGATGATGTTGTTGTTGTTGTTTGCCATCGAGTCGGCCCCGACTCATAGCGACCCCTCCTTGGGTTTCCGAGGCAGTATCACTACGGAAGTAGGATTGCCCAACCTTCCTTCCGAGGAGTGGCTGGTGGGTTTGAACCGCCAGCCTTCTGGTTAGCAGTCAAGTGCCTTAGCCACTATGCTACCAGAGCTCCTCGGACTGGGATGATAGGAGGTAGAAACAATGGAGGAGCCTGTCCTCCTGTGAAAATGCTTGCCAAACCATAGAAAGAAACATTCCATGACCTACTGCAATATACAAATACTTTCTGACCACCAAAGTGAAAATTTCATAGACCAATACATGTTATTGTGTGCCACTGATTCTATTCCGATTCAGAGGGGCCCTACAGGACAGAGTAGAACTGCCTCATAGGGTTTCCTAGGCTATAATCTTTACAGAAGCAGATCACCAGGTTTTTGTTCTTCCGTGGAACAGCTGGTAGTTTCTAACTGCAAACCTTTTAGTTGGCAGCTGAGCAATTCAACCACTGTGCCACCAAGACTCCTTCATCCTGTATTTTCTGTTTTATTGTATTTTCTCTTCCAAAAATTTCTAAATTTATTTCATTATTTGGGGTCAAATCCAAAGTCAGGTAAGCACTGCTCAAGGGCAAGGGCTCCAGCCCACCTAGGAATCCAACTCACATACCCCACAGACCACTTGCTCCAATTGCCACATTCATAAAAACAAGGTCAGTTCCCAACCGCCAGCCCTCAACTCCCACAGTGAACTGGTCCAGTAACTATCAGTGTGCTGTAATACCTGGAGGCAGGGTCTCCACGCTTTGTGCTTTATCTTCCCCATTGCTGTGATGAAGGTCTTTCTTTTTAATAGGATCAATTTCATTCCAGTCCTCCTAGGGGGAACAAAGACACCAAATGAATTGATTGGTTCTTCAAACACACTTTCATTCTTCTGTTCAATACACAGTGAGTGATAGTGCCAGGTACTGAAGGACACCCCGGGGATTCAGGATAAGGAAGAAATGGCTCTGGTCTCAAGGACACCTGCACCAGAACCTGTCAAGTAGTTAAGAATCCAAGGGAAGAACAGCATGGGAATGATCTTTACATCTGCATGTTGTATCTGTGGGAAGACAATACGACAAAGAGTCCCAGGACTATGAGGATTTGTAAAGGTGGGAAACTGAAAGAGAGAAAGTGAATTAAAAATCGTAATATGATATGGTTAAATTAAAACTGCTAAAAGGAGGTAGCTCTCCTAACATCTTAGATGCCTTAGATCAGCCAAACTTCTTATCGGGTTTTCTGTAATGCTGACTGCCAGTAGAACAGAGCTACAAATTAAGGACTTAATATGAAACCAGCATAAGGTACATGCTTTGACAGAATTTATTTACCTTATTTAGGCAAACAATTTACTCCTAGATAATAATTTATCAACATTAAATCAAACTAAATAACAATTCCACAACCAGAGAGCTAAATATAGTTTTCAAGCACTTGAGATTTGACATCTGTGAATAAAAAAAGAAAGGTTTCTGAGGGGGCTGCACACATAACCCAAGTCATAAGTATCCCATGGCTAGTAATTTCCCCATGCAAACTTCTCTGAGCCAAGCACTATCAACTAGCCATATTCATCTGCAGATGCCATTAAGACAAGCTGCAGCACGTCTACCCTTCAAGTAGACCCAACTATGCTTCAGACCAGCATAGGCTGCCAGCTGTGCAAGTTTACCACTACAAACATTATTATTCTTTCAAATATAAAGTGAGATTTTTTTTAAACAAGTATCATCCTCAGAGCCTAGGCTAAGTGATACATTTTTTCCAAATGCAACCTGCTCTGCCAATAGTCTACATTTTCATTCAAAAGGTACAGTAACTAAACAGAGCCCTTGCTTAAGCCCCAACCCCCCAAGAGGCCAGCCTTTCCTTCTGGCATTTCTGCATGGAAGCTCTACAACTGGGCTTATCACATCAGGGTTGTCATGGAAATGACAGACAGGGGCACCTGTGTACATGATCACTGCAAAAGGAACAGAAAGAAATCATTGTGAGAAGAATCACTCTAGCCTGGTGGTCCAGGCCTCACATACCTGTCACAAGGCTATTTTAAAGACTGCAAATGTGCCAAGTACAATACTATGAAAAACATATTAAAATGTGTTCATATGTCAATTTAAATATTTTTGTTGTAAAAAAATTGAAAGATATTTTAATTTTGATTTTGGTGATTACTTGGTTACAAATGAACTTTTAATCTACTTACTTCAATTACTGGCAATGATTTCTCTACAGTAAGTTGGTAAACACACAAGAGTAAGAAAAGCTAACCTACTAACTGCCTTGTTGTTGCTCTTTATTAGGTGCTGCTGAGTTGCTTCCAACTCATAGTGACCTTATGTACAACAGAATGAAACACTGCCCAGACCTGCACCATCCTCACAATCATTGCTATGCTTAAGTCCACTGCTGTAGCCACTGTGTCAATCAATCTCTTTGAGGATCTTCCTCTTTTTCTCTGACCCTCTACTTTACCAAGCATAATACCTTTCTCCAGAGACTGGTTCCTCCTGATAAGATGTCTGAAGTCTCACCATCCTTACTTCTAAAGAGCATTCTGGCTATACTTCTCCCAAGACAGATTTATTCACTTTTCTGGCAGTCCACAGTCATGCCACTAATTCAACATTCTTCAGCAACACCATAGTTCAAATGGATCAATTCTTCTTTGGTCTTCCTTATTTACCGTCCAGCTTTCACATGCATATGAAGTGACTGAAAATACCATGCCTTAGGTCAGGTGTACTTTAGTAATCAAAATTATATCTTTGTTCTTTAACCCTTTAAAAAAGTCTTTTATAGCAAATTTGCCCAATGCAACACACTGTTTGATTCCTTGATTGTTGCTTCCCATAGGCATCCATTGTAGATCCAAGTAAAATGAAATCTCTGACAACTTCAATCTTTTCTCCATTTATCATGATGTTTACTTACTGGCCCAGTTGTGAGGATTTTTGTTTTCTTTATGTTAAGCTGTCATCCATATTTAAAGTTGCTGCTTTTGATCTTTATCAGTAAGTGTTTCAAGTACTCTTCAGCAAGCAAGGTTATGTTGTCTGCATATCTCAGGTTGCTAATGAGTCTTCTTCCAATCCTAATATGGTGTTCTTCTTCACACAGTCCAACTTCTCACATAATTTGCTCAGCAAACAGACTGAATAAATATGGTGAAAGGATACAACCATGATGCACAACTTTTCTGATTTGTTCTGTTTCAATGACTGCCTTCTGGTCTATGTACAGGTTCTGCATGAGCACAACTGCCTTACAATGTAATAAAATATGTGTCAACACTAAATGCAACAGTAATGATGTTATCAGAGTCATATTTTATAAACTTTTCATTATTAAACATTATTAACATTTTAAAATATTATTTTGTAGTTTGCTTATAGTATTTTGTGGTTTATCATTTTTTTCCCTAGAACATTTCCACAAGCATTAGGCCTGTACATACCACTGGGTAATGGATCAAACAATTTAACCTTGTACATGAATAAAATCAAAAGAAAATCTGACCAGGTGGGGCCAGTAACTCTTGGCCTATTTTCTACATTTAAAAATTACATTATTATCTTTAGAGTTCACCAAACCACAAATTTCAGGTAAACCATCAATATTTTCTCAGAAAATAAACATTTTCTTTTGCCCACAAACAAGATCAATTAACCTATAGCTAACATGCTTCAGCCTCCCTTTGCTCTGGACTCCCAATCAACCATGCTCACCATAAAACTAAAATGGACATGCCCTTATAACTAGAGCATAACGAAGTACACCCTAGTTATAAGTGCATAGCAAAGTACCATGAATCTGAAATACTGCCAGGAGGCACTGCACATCAATAATTTCTCACATCTACAACAACCCTGACATGTTAGAATTCCTGTCTTACAATGAGAACACAAAAATCAGAGAGGTTAATTAATTTGTCCAGGTCACACTGCTGGTAAAGAAGCTAAAAAAAACTGGCCCTTCATAAGTCAGGATGAGGATGATAGCCCTAGGGCTTAATTTAAACCAAGTAACAAAAACCGTTATTTTCAAAATGTCATAGAAACCCAAAAATACATTTCTAGGAGATCATTCACAAAGGACTGTGTTGTTCTGGACTCTCAAAAACGCAAATTACCATGCTACGTACCTGCTCTAAGAGTACAATGAGGAGGAGGAAGAGCAGCCACTGCCACCTAACTCACATAGCACTAACTATGTGCCAGGCCCTATTGTAGGCGATGCACAGATTAATTCATTTAATCTCCCTTATACCTCAATAAGATGCTGTTACTTGTTCCATTTTACAGATGAGAAAACTGAAGCATCAACAGTTTAAGTAGCATAAAACTAGTAAATAATGAAGATGGAATGAATTGTCTAGGTTCAGGGTCCACAGTCATTATCATTTGGCTATACTGGTTCTAGATAAAATAGTGCCTCTACTTCCCCAACTATACAGCCAATTGTCTTAGGTACCTAGTGGTGCTATAACAGAAATACCACAAGTGGGTGGCTTTAACAAACAAATTCATTTTCTCACAGTTTAGGAGGCTAGAAGTCCAAATTCAGGGTGCCTGCTTGAGGGGAAGGCTTTCTCTCTCTGCTGGCTCTGAGGAAGGTCCTTGTCTCTTCAGCTTTTGTTTCCTGGTTCACTGGCTATCTCCATGTGTTTTGGCAACAATTTTACCCCATCTGTCTTCTGGTCACTTGTTTCATTTTTTCCTATATCTCAAAAGAGATCGACTCAGGATATACCTATACTAATCCTGCCTCATTAACATAACAAAGACAATCCATGCCCAAATGAGATGATAACTACAGGCACAGAGGTTAGGGCTTGCAACACATCCCATTCTGGGGGGACATAATTCAATTAGTAACACCAATATTAAAGTAAACATATTACCCATTCCATCTAAGAATAAAGTTGAGTGATTAGTTCCTGAAAAGCCAGTTCCTGAAAAGATAGTTCACTGCTGAGCCAAGGGTCCACGTTCATTCTACATTCCACTGACTACTCTCATGGCCCAGTCCCCATCTGGGGTCTTCCTAAAGGCCTGATATTGAGAAATTCAGTCACTAGAAATAGAATGGGGAGCAGGTAACTCTGTCTTCATTGATGGACACATTCTCACACAGACAAAAAGCAATTACAGTCAAGTGCTCTACACCAGATGCCAGCACAAGTACAAGGGGCTTTGACTCAGATAGGACATCAAGTAGGAGTGGTTGGAAAGGCTAAGAGAATATGTGACACTTTAGTGGAGAACTGCAGGAGGCAGGAATTTACCAGGCAAGGAGAAATGACTGGGCTTGGTGGGGTAGGGGTGAAAGCTAAGGGAAGACAGAAAATTGGAAACCATAGAAGTGACAAGATATTTTGAGACTTGAGACTTATATTTTAGGAACATCACTTTGGCTGTGATGTATAAAATGAATTGGAGGGGGAACAAAAAAAAGAGGCCAGACGGCCACTATGACAATGCAGGAAGGGAAAACAGTAAGTTAGAATAAGTTATGGTTCTACAGATGGAGAGGGAACAAGTCTAGCTGTTGAGAAGCGAAGGGTCTGGTGGTGACTCAGTGGCAAGAGTAAGAAGGAAGAAGGAATCAGAGAGGATGTCCAGGATTCTGATCTGAATGTTTAATAGACAGAAGTGACATTCATAGATAAGAAAGATGAGAAAGCTGATTCGGTGGGATAGGAGTGGTGCTAGGAAATGAAGATGAGTTTGTTTTGGAAATGTTAAGGTTATTGCAAGGCACCAAAAGCAGGTAACTGGAAAATCAGATGAAGATACAAGTGGATGGATATACAAGTCTGGAAAAC